GTAATGCGGACCAAAATTTCGAAGATCTTCGGCCGTTAGCCAATCAAAATCGAGGATCTGCCGCGCATTTTTTGTGCACCTAGGTTCAATCAATAATGGCGCACATGCTGTTTTTCGTGATCTGTTGATTAGAATCGAACAATTTTGGTACATTTGATTTGTCTCATCGAGACAAATCAAATGATATCAAAATCTTGCGATTCTGATCGATACTTCTCGAGATATCATTATTTAACTAAGATAAGCTGCGCAGACCAATTTTAAAATTAACATCAAATAGTGAATAACTTCTGATTGACCAATCCATTCTTGATTATTTTACTATCAAAGTGACCGCCTTGAAGAGACGATTCCGAAGAGCCCGAAATCATCAAAATCCAATCACTGTATCACGAGATCGATAGGATTTTTGTATTGTTTTTGATGAAAATTAGATAAGTTAAACTATCTATTTTCAACAAAAAAATAAGAAAACCTTAGCAATCTGTGATACTGTGGTTGGATTTTGACGATTTAGGACTTGTTGGAATCGACTCTTCAAGGCAGTTATTTTGATGGCAAAATCATCAAAAACGAACTGGTCTATCAAAAGTTATTCGCTATTTTTTGTTAATTTTAAATTTTGTTTTGCGCGGCTTATTTTGGCTAAATAATGATATCTCGAGAAGTATCGATCAGAATCACATGATTTCGCTACCATTCTATTCGTCTAGGTGAGATTAATCAAATGGTACCAAATTATGTAATTCTGATTGATGATTCACAAGATATTACCGTGCGTCACAATACTTCTATACGCTATAATATTCTTATATACTTTAGATGTTACTTTAATAGTAATATCTCGTGATCCACTAATCAGAATCTTACATTTTGGGTATCAATCGATTCGTCTCGCCGAGACGAACCGATTGGTGTCAAAATTGTATCAGCAGATCATGAGATATCGTAATTGCGCCATGATTGGTAGTGCGCCATAATACCCATATTCACCTTAAATATAGAATTTAAATAAAAAAAATTTCATCGAATTTGAAATATCTTTGCTAAAGTTTTAGGAAAATTTTGGCGCAGCTTCTACGTTTGATAAACATTATCTATTATTAAAAAAAACTTCGAGCGATGATTTCAGCAACCTGATTAACGCTCTTTTCGATTTAGTTGGATCGACGATCTGCATAATGTTTTTTGAGTTCCGTGAGTGAATACAAGATAGATATTACTTTATGTTCGTCGTATTTTTTTTTACGGTAATTCGATGAATTTTTTTTATTTGAATCCTATAGATCCTCAATATTCAAAAAAAAAAAAATTTTATCGAATATGATTAGATAGTTGCTGAGAAATCTCAACAATCACGTACGTATGTACAATCGAATCGGGCATGCAGTGATCTAAAATTTTATCAAAAAATAAATCGGTTCCTGGTATAATTCTAGCCATATCCGGAAATTTTTAATTGTTTTCATATCGGCGAATTTGATTTGCAAAATCTTTTTTTGCAGAACTCAGTTCACACATACTTGGTTGTCGTCCGACTGTACGATTGTGAAGTAATTTTCTTAATAAAAATTCAATGTAAATATTTTTATAATATTATGCCTTATATCTATATTCTCAAAATAATACCTATATTTCCAAAAACAACACAATCGGACAACAATCAAGTGATTGTACATATGTGTGAGCTGCAATCTAGAGTTAATACTTGGATTCATTTATATCCGGATCAGGGCCAAAACGACAAATAAGTGTCGTTTTTGATTATGATAATATTATATTAAAATTTTATTACTCGTAAATTTGTTGTATCAAAAACGATACTTCAAACAATGGGCAGCGGTAGTGTTTGGCGTCGTAATCATGTGATGCTAATTGTCACATGATACAATATATAAAAATCAACAATTAGATTGTTGATTTTTATATATTTTACCACGTGACAATTAGCATCACATGATTACGACGCCAATCACTAGGCAGCGGCGCAATAAATGGCTGCCGTATATTATGTGTCGTTTTAGCCCTGATCCGGATTTAAATATGCAGGCACATTACCTTTGTCCACTCACGAAACTGTTTCAGATATATATAGATATTATTGTTAAATCGGGATCTTATAATTAAATCCGGATCTAACAATCAAGTCCGGATTAAATGGTTAAATCCAGATATACGTAAATAATTAAATCCGGATCCAAGTACGTATTCAAAATTTGATCAAAAAATGCATCATTTTGCAAACCCCGATAAATTAGGGTCTATACATTTTAGCATTAGTAATGCGATTGTAAAACAGACCCCAAATTTCAATTATTTGCGCATTCTCTTTTTAGACCAAATTCTGACGATTTGTATAACAACTCTAATTACTCATCGTTGTAAAAGATTATGACAATTTTCGCTTAACATTGTTTACATTTAATTTCCTAAAAAAAAAAAAAAAATGAAACCGTTACCTAATGAATGTCTTTTTGAAATACTTAATAACCTTCGTAAAGACCATGGAAGTTTATTTTCATGTCTTTTCGTAAATCGTCAATGGTGTGAAAATACTGTACGATCATTATGGAGTGAACCAGGTGAACACTTTGAGGATAAACGAATCATAAAGATTTATCTTTCTTCATTAAATATAGAAGAACAAGCTCGATTAATACCACTTGATATAGTTCTTCCAAATAATCCAACTCTTTTATTTGATTATCCTTCTTTTACTAAATCTATTTCCACAACTTCATTAATCTGTGGAATTATAAGTTGGATTCGAACTGAAGGTCATGGTCCTCACGATCTAATGGTTTATCCTGATGTTGATTGTTTTGAATTTAAAGACAATAATTATGATGAATATGATGAATTTATGAAATCAATTAATGTAATTCAATTAATTAAATGTACTTTAATTGAAATGTTTCTAAGAAAATCTATTGCTCTTGAAGATTTGGAAATTGTTGGAGTTGTTTACAACAAAATTTTCGAACAAATTTCAAGAAATACTGTTCTTAGTGAATTAAGTTTTTCTGATAATCAACTTGGTTTTGAAGAAGTAGAAACTCTTTTTAATCATTCTACTTTGGATTATTTATTTCTCATGGATAATCAATTTAACTTGGGTGGTCAAAAAGCGTTAAAGAAATCTCTTTCCGAGAATACTACTTTAACTTCTTTATGTCTTCAGTTTAATGACCTTGGCATTGAAGGTGGAAATGCTTTGGCGGAAGCTCTTTATGAAAATAAGACTCTCACTTACTTGAATATTGATGATAATCAGTCTTATGATGGAATAAAAGCATTAGCGAAGGCTCTTTGCGAAAACACTACTCTAACTTCTTTACACCTTCGTGATAAACGTCTTATCTTCGAGGATGGAAAGGCTTTTGCGGAGGTTCTATATAAAAATTCCACTTTGGAATCTTTGAGTTTTTCTGGTGATCAATTTGATCATAAAGGTGTAATTGTATTAGCAGAGGCTCTTTGTAAAAACGTATCTCTAACTTCAATGGAGTTTTGGAATTGTCAAATTGGTTTTCAAGGAGGAAAAGCGTTAGCTGGAATTCTTTACAAAAATACCACTTTGACTAATTTAAGTATTGGTGCTAGTAACATTGGTTTCAAAGGTGAAAAAATAATTGCTGAGGCACTTAGTAAAAATTCCAATTTAATTTCTTTAAAACTTGGCTATAATCAAATCGGTTTTAAAGGAATAAAAGCAATAGCGAAGGCTCTTTGTATCAATAATACTCTAACCTCCTTAGATCTTCAGAAAAATGAAATTGGTATCGAGAGTATAAAGGCCTTAGCGGGTGCTCTTTGCAAAAACACTTCTCTTGCTGAATTAAATCTTTTGTTTAATCAACTTGGTGATGAAGAAGTTATGCCATTGATAGAAGCTCTTTACAAAAACACTACTTTGAAATCTTTGAACCTTAGTTTAAATAAAATTGGTTTTAAAGGAGGAAAAGCTTTTGCAGAGGTCCTTAGCAGAAATGACGCTTTGACTTCATTGAATCTTAGCTGTAATCGAATTGGTTTTAAAGGAGGAATGGCTATAGTAAACACTCTTTGTGAAAAAAATAATACTTTAACCACTTTAGATCTTCGGTATAATCAAATAAGTGATGATAGACAAAAAGAATTAGCAAAGATTCTTGGTAAAAAAATTACTTTAGATTCAAATTATCGATTCTAAATTTTTGTAACAAAATTGAAAATAAAGAAATCGGTAAAACTTTTTCATGAATACAAATTGATTTGAAAAAAAAGTATATATAATAAAAATTTGCCTTAAAAGGGACGCATTAACGTATACAACATCAGTAGACAGCTTGTGTATATATTATAAATAATAGTATGATGCTAAAAATGGCAAAGAAATGTTAATTATGTTAATCATATAATAAAGATTTTAATTTGCAAGCTAACCAAAGCCAAATTTGTAAGTAAATTGCCTATTCTCCAAAATATCAACCGTTTCGCAAATAAATTATTTAATTGTAAGTCAATTTCGGTACTAAATGCGGTCCAATCTAACAGAAATCATTTTATTTCACATTACTAATAAATATGAAAGTCAATTGGATACTAAAATCCTTAAGTGCGTTAATTTATTACGCATATTTGTGCATTTATGATGAAATGAATAAATATATTCGACTAAGTAACTTTTCAGAGTGAAGAGTTGCAATCCATTCTTTTGCGGAAATTCCGTATGACCTAGTATTTTCATTTCTCTCAGTAATCCAATATTTATCCCTTAGTTCTTTCCTTCGAAATTTCTCTGAATTGCATATGGAGTTGAATAAATCTACGTCCATAAGCAAATTTATTTCTTTGTCTAATTTTGTATAATGAATATCTATTCTCAGCAATTGATTTTAGCTATAGACTAATACCATAATACGATTATAATTGTTAGACGAAACCTTTTCGCATGATGACGAAACTTACACTCAAAAAGACGAAACACTAGTGCTCCCGCTAAAAAAAAAAAAAAAAAAAAAAGTTATTTTTTTGAACTAACATTCATAATATTCAGAGATCAGTTCATTTTTCTGGACAATGCTAAGGTTGTTATAGACCGGTTGAAATAGCCTTGTCAAAAAGCCATAGTACTCATGGAATAACCCAAATAATGAATTAAAACATACTAGCACAAAATAAATTTGTAATATCACAAAGGGATGGGATCGGCTCAACTCGGCTTAGAAGCCGAGCCGAGCCGGCTTGAAACCGATCACGTGACTCGACTTGAAGCCAATTATCTTATTTAGCCTAACCTCGTTTTAAAATCTTAGTTACAATAACTCTAAGGCTGTTGCAGCTATCCTTATAAATTTTTGGACATCAAATAAATGGTTACTATACAATTGTTTGGCCGATTCAATAAGCTTGTGATTTCAATGATCAATTACATAATGATGTATATATAGGAATATATTTGTTTTTACACTTTAGATAAGTTGAATTTTATGTTAGAGTTCTATTAGGGTTCCACATGGTCTGGCTGTCTGAATATTTTGAAGTCCAGATCCAACCCACAAAACATGTACCAAATTTTCATAACCATATCCAGCCCATACTTGCTTAAATAAAGCCACGCCCGACCACAAGTACAATCCAAGTTTGCCCAAGGATCCAAATAGTGCAAACTGTAAAGGTAAATTAAGCTCTAACTCATAATTTTAAAGTCATTGATGTTAATACTCAATTGTGAACTAGTTCACGGTCGACTTTGGCAACATCAATGTCAACGTGAACTAGTTCAATGTTTGGTCAAGGTCAAATGAAAACTGTGAACTAGTTCACGACAAAGAATTTGATTCATATTTGATACCTAGTGATTTTGTAATTAGATGTGGATGTGATTCGAATGGTACCAAATTCATTCAAATCCGATCACAAGATCACTAGGTATCAAGGACGGATCAAATTCAAGTCGATCGTGAATTAGTTCGCGGTCAATATTGATGTCACCAAAGTCGATCGTGAACTAGTTCACGATTGATACCTATGCCATCAAAGTCGATCGTGAACTAGTTCACGATAAAGGATTTGATCCATCTTTGATACCTGGTGATCTTGTGATTAGATTTTGATGAAATTGGTACTATT